TACTTAAGATGTTCTGGAGGGCTTTAGTTGGTTTGTGTGATGCCACATGGTGATGCCATCTGGTTGTAATAGGAAACAGTGAATGGTCAGTGAATGAATGAATAGGTGCAGAATGTATATTGTTTAAATTAAAGTGAGTGACCAGTACAAAAGAAGTACATTGAAGTGATGCGGCCATTCAGGGAGAATGAATGATTAAATTGTAAAAGAAATACATGAAGAGAGAGAATGGGTCAAGAAGAGAGGGAAGAACAAAAAAGGCACAGGTGGATGGAGTTGATGAGTTTCAACAAAAAGAGAAAAATTTAAAGAGCAGAAGGTAGCATATGAAGCAGCATACAGATGTGGTGAAAACAAGGATGCTTTGCAAGATATGGAGAGATATAGCAAATAGTTGGTATGAACTAAATTTAGCTATATTCCCTTTTTTGTATCTAATGTCTTTAATTTTTTTGGCTGTTATTTCTGTATTTTGCGTTGCTTACCTCAAAAGAGAATAGGGTGATGAATATGTATGTCTATATGTATGTATTGATTGATCAATGGAGTTACCTTCATATCCTTTTAATACTCCTAATCCTATGGTATTTTGTCCATATCATTTAGCAGCATAACCATTCTAGTTATTTTTTATCAATAAATAGTGTTATGATTCTGTCTTCAGTAATTTATGTTACAATTGTTCATCCAGGAGACAGAAGTGCATCTGGGAAAGAAAAGTTCCAAATATGTCTAATAGAAATGTTCTGCAGCTGTAAAAGACAATAGTATCCATTGAGTCTATCCCTTGTCTTGGTGCAGGAAAATAAATTAAAGCATTCCTGACAGGTGATGGTCCAGTCTCTGGTTGAGCACATCCTGCAAAGAGGAATGTACCACCTTTAGTTGGTTCTCTTGTCTAACTACTGTGGCCATTAGATTTTTTCCTAACATTCACTGGGAACTTAAATCCATAATTCTGTGCCATGCATGTGCCATGCTATGATGAAGAACAGGGTTTGACCTTCTTCTGTGTGGCATCCTTTCAGGTATCTGAAGAGTGCTATCATATCCCACTTCAAGGCTAAAGATACCCAGCTCTTTCAATCATAGGATTTAGTTTCAACAATAATTATCTTCAATGTCCTTCTTTGAACCAATCTGTAATTTGGAAGTTGTATGTTTGTTGGCACCAACTAAAATTGCATTTGCCTTTGAGGCAACCATATTACACTAATGATTCTCATTCAGTTTGGAATCAACTATGATTCTAAGTTTTTTTTTCCCCAGAAATCCTAGTGTCAAGGCAGGAAAATTCCAGGTTTTTATAACTTGGAAAAGTTATTCATATTTCCAAAGTGAATAGTTTTTCATGTGTTTCTATTAAATTTCATTCTCCCCTCCCCCCTCCCTTTTATACATCTGGAAATTGATAAAGCATTCCCTCCATCTCTTCATGCAGTTCATTAAAATAAAATAAAAATGTTGACTAGAACATGGCTGAGGGCTTAATATTGTTGCACTCTATTCAACCCTTCTCTGAGTTGATGACAAACCACTGATTACTCTTTGATTTTTGAATAAGCTGCATATTCTTTGAGCACATATTTTCAGTCTGTCTTTGTTTTCATTGAGCAACTAATACCCTGATTTCTCTCTTCTTTTTCTTTTGAACATAGCTGAAGAATTTCTTTTTATCATTCTTAGCATTTACCAATCTGAACTCATTAGCCTTAGTCTTTCTTATATCATCTCTATAAATCTGAGCAAGGAGCCTCTTCTTTGGTGACCCCCATTCTCTTTCCACTCTCTCTATATGTGCCCTTTTTGTTTTCAGATCTTCACAAACCTTTTTGTTAACCTAGTTTGGCCTCCATTTTTTCCTCATTGGATTTACTTGTAGTTGGGTTTTTAGAGTCTTTTTTAAGAACTCATACCAATCTTGAACACTTTTTCCAAAAGCTTCTACAGAATCCTATTTATCATTGCTCTGAGTTTATTAAAATCTACTTTCTTGAAATTTAAAATACACAGTTGATGTTATTTTGCTTTACTTTCTCATAAAATCAAGAACTTTGCCATTATATGATCACTTTCATCCAGCATTCCTGCAACTTTCATTTCCTGGACTAGTCAAAAAATTCTGGAGACAATATTTGGCAGGGGTTGTTGTGTATCAGACATTGGAGTAATTAGGTCCCCCATTGTTGTTATTCCTTTTGGAAATATCTAGTGTTTGCTTTTAGATATTACCTTCCATTAACTTTTATTTGGACAGGCAATAGACGTTATTATCAAATATTGTTATCTATTTATTTTTCTCCTTATTTTAACCAGATGCTCTCTATTGCATTGCCAACTTCAAATCCATTTACTGTATATACTTGCGGATAAGCTGAGAATTTTAGGCTCCAGAATACACCAAAAAATTGGGTTTGACTTATCCGTAGTAATAATACTTTTTTTAAAGTGCCCGTATATACTTGCGGATAAGCCGAACCAGAATACTATGAAGAATGTGCCATCCACAGATAAGCCATTTGTAGAAATTTTAAATGAAATCTGTTCTGGAAAACATTTATTGATACAAAATATGAAAACAAATGAAGTCCTTCAGAATTTATTTAAAAAAACAAAAATTTCAAGGGTCAACTTATCTGCGCTTGGGCTTATCTGCGAGTATATATGGTTCTTGGATTTCTGAGTATATATAGATACTTTTAATGGATACTCTTACTTTATTGATACTGAACTTGCCCAGGGTTTTATACAGAAATTAGAATGGGTGAGATCTGTTCCT